ATTTAAATATCAAATGGTGACATCTTTACACAACAGTCTGCCTCATTTTTGAGTTGTACATTGATGATCTTATATAAATAATTACATGGTTTTAATTATAAAATTAGAACTCTTCTTATCTTAAGGGTATTGTCTTTATCTGTAATATTTTATCAATATAAAACATTTTATAATTTTTATTTGTCTTTTATCAAGGCTTTGCTGACATACAGAAGGATTATTTTAAGGTATTTAAATCTACAATTTTTTGTGTGTTTAGAGTTCTGACTTGGTGTCTTGCCTGTAAAGATTTTTCTTTACAGAATATCATGTAATTATTCATCCATATATGTTTCTAGTACTTTATGCTTTCATTTTTAAAAATTAAATCTTAAATTCACATAGATGTCTCTAATATGACATTAGAGAAAATGATGTAACTTTCTTTCTAAAAACTAACCACTTACATCATCGATTCTCAAATAATTTCTCTTTTTCTAGCTATTTTAAATGTCACCTTAATCATACATTAAAATTTTTTTTTTTTTTTTTTTTTTTTTTTTTTGAGACGGAGTCTTGCTCTGTAGCCCGGGCTGGACTGCAGTGGCCGGATCTCAGCTCACTGCAAGCTTCGCCTCCCGGGTTTATGCCATTCTCCTGCCTCAGCCTCCGGAGTAGCTGGGACTACAGGCGCCCGCCACCTCGCCCGGCTAGTTTTTTGTATTTTTAGTAGAGACAGGGTTTCACCGTGTTAGCCAGGATAGTCTCGATCTCCTGACCTCGTGATCCGCCCGTCTCGGCCTCCCAAAGTGCTGGGATTACAGGCTTGAGCCACCGCGCCCGGCCTAAAATGTTAATGTTAAGTGGGGCGCGGTGGCTCACGCCTGTTTACCCAGCACTTTGGGAGGCCGAGGCCGGCGGATCACGAGGTCAGGAGATCGAGACCATCCTGGCTAACACGGTGAAAGCCCGTCTCTACTAAAAATACATAAAAAACTAGCTGGGTGTGCTGGCGGGCGCCTGCAGTCCCAGCTACTCAGGAGGCCGAGGCAGGAGAATTGCTTGAACCTGGGAGGCGGAGGTTGCAGTGAGCCGAGATTGCGCCACTGCACTCCCACCTAGGCGACAGAGTGAGACTGCATCTCAAAAAAAAAAAAATTAAGAAACTATATGAGTTTCTGGGTTTTTTGTTTTGTTGTTTCTTTGCAATGCCAAGTTACTTAAATGCAGAGGAATTTATCAACCTAAGGATTTAGGGGGATTAAAATAAATAGCATTTAGCATAAAATTAACTAGGTAATAATAAAAATTGTTATCTTACAGGTCTTAGAGTTTTAATTATCCTGTACTTCTTAAAATTACAACTTTAAAAATTTCTTTTTAGAGGGGAACAGCATTTACGTCAATTGTGGTCATTTAAAGTGTCTTGGCCTATGCTGTCCTCAAATTTTCAAAACCAGACCTTGCCTGACCCATTAAAGCGAAGGGCTAAGCATGGCCAGCTGTGTCTGAGGAGGTTTGTCCTCCCTTAGTTCTTCCTCGGATCCGCCGTGGGTTGATCCTGCCCTTTGTGAAATCCACCACCATGTTTGCTGGTCAAATTGTACCCACTGGCTCCTTGATGGAACTGAATGCAGAGTTTGTTGCAGAAAAATTCAGGAGCTGCAAAGTTAAGAGGCTCAACTGTAGCACAGAGTCAACAGTTTGCAAATAAAGCCCCTGGAGCTAAGATTTCCTTTCATGTGTTAGCTGCCTCCAGGATACATAGGGGCAGGTGGGAGTGCCAGCTCTTGTACTTGGAAGAGTGGATTCGGCTTTAGACAAACTCCTGCAGAGTGACCCAAGGAAGCACTGAGGGTCTGAGGAACGAACGACAGGGAGCAGAGATTTACTGAGAGTATGACCTCCCGTCATAGCACCATTGCTGTTACTTGAGTAAATTAGGTAGAATCTTTCAGTAAGAAAACTTGGTCAAAGGTATTCCAGCAGAGTCTTCCTATGAAACCATGCTCACTCATCACCACCTTCCAAGTGCAGCCCAGCTTTCTCAGCCCAGCTACTGCAGCCACCCACCCCGCAGCCCCACCACCTCCTCCTGCCATCCCATGGCATCTCAGGTCCCCCGTGGGTACAAAACGGAGTGGGAACCAGTCCCTCTCCCACGACATACTGGGATAGTGCCACGGGATGTGTGTGCACATCTGCAGGAAGGGCCGCGGGAGCAGCCAGGGCCAGCCCTGCCAGGGGGTCATGTGGAAGACCCTCACCAAGCCCACGGCCGTGGAGGCTGGAGGCGGATGCTGCTCTGAGAGCCCGTGACAAACCCACTCCTCCCCTGCTAGGCCGTCATCTGCTGATGACGGATGATGCTTTTACCTGAAGCGTCTGCATTTGTATTTAATATATTCACTTTTCAGGAATAAAGAGGGATATTCCCATGCATTTTTTTCCAGGGTATTTTACCGACTCCCGTTGTAGCCACCCATTATACAACCCAGCAGAACTGGAAGAAAACGATGCCATCGGAGTGAGGCGGGCGGCCCAGAGGCATCTGCAAGCAGAACTGGGAATTCCTGGGGAGCAGGTACACACAGCACGCAGTCACAGCTGTGTCCACGGGAGTCCAGGTTGGCAATGGGCAGAAGCTGAACAAAGTCCAGGCTGGATCTGTGCTGTTGGCCTCATGAAGCACCGTGAGGATGAAGGATGGGGCTGTGGATGGGGCTGTGGATGGGCTGTGGATGGGAACGTGAATGTAGCTGTAGATGGGGCAGTGTGAGTCTTTGTGTGTCCCAGGCAGGGTTGAGACTATGCAGGAATCTGTCGGCCACACACCAAAGAGGAAATTCAAGTGTCCACTAGAAAGAATGTCCAGGATCCTGTGAGCATGTGTTAACTTCATCCATTCAAGAACATCTTTAAGAGAGGACGGATGTTCTCCTGACAGTGCTGGCCGGTTTCTATGGGATTTTCTGTTGAGGATGTGTGTGTGACAGGTTTAGTTCTTTAAATGAAGACACAGACAGGTTTACTGGAACCAAGAAACCAAAGCCAGTTTATCATTCAGACTTGAGTCCACAAAAATTTACTTAGCTAAAATTGAGGTTTTGGAAGTTATCAATTACCAAAAGAAAGTGTTCATTTTCTTTGAGGAAAACAATGTGTTTATTTTCTCTATTTTTCTGTAAATTCTGTTTTACATGTGTGTTGTTAACACTGCACCAATTTCTGTCAGATTTCTCCAGAGGACATTGTGTTCATGACAATCTATCACCACAAGGCAAAATCAGACAGAATTTGGGGACAGCATGACATTTGTTACCTTCTGCTTGTGAGGAAAAATGTCACCGTGAACCTGGATCCCAGTGAAAAGAAAAGCATCCTCTACCTGTCCCAGGAGGAGCTGCGGGAGCTCCTGGAGAGGGGGCCAGGGGCAAAGTCAAAGTCACCCCCTGGCTAAGAACCATTGCCGAGAAGTTTCTGTACCAGTGGTGGCCTCACCTGGATGATGTGACCCAGTTTGTGGAGCTTCACACAGAGTGTGAGAGGCAGGGAGGTCGAGTCAGCTGTGTGGAATGCTCTCAGTGCAGGCAGACACACCATCGAGGCAACAACACACCCAACACAGGGCGAAAGGGGCATGTGATTGCCCATCAGCTATAAATCACTCATTTCCTTTTCATCAACTTTGTCATGTCTTCATTTTCCCTTTCCTTTATTTCTGTATTTCTCATCTGCCTGGTGGCAGGGAGGAAATTTAATGTTTCCCTTGTCCCAGTTTCCATTTTATAAGCACTTGGTCGATGAACAGCGGCTGATCCTGAAAGTCTTGGGGAGAGCTTGAGAGTTCTGACGCAGGCGGACTAGCCTGGCTGGACCGTGAGGCTGCCTTCCCACAGCTTTATCCAAGCCTCCAAGGTCAGGAGGGGTCTCTGCTTCATCTGTTTCTTTCTAAATCACTTATTTCCAAGTGCAACACAAGGTTGCATTTTTTAAAAAAGACACATTCAATTTTGCATCTTAAGCCTTGGCGATGTGCATTTAAGTTCACCTTTCAAATGAATTTAGGCTTACAGATATTACATTCCTAATACGAGCAGTACAGAAGATGTGTATGGTCTCAGCCAAGTGACTCGATGTTTATCCACTTCTGTTCATTTGATTACATTTCAGTAATATGCTTACAAATAAAGACATACTTGCTTTAAAACATACTGTTGTTGAACACAAAGTAACTACATATTAGGTTTTGGTGTTTAATACGGAGAAAGAATTTCAAAAACCAGACGTGGTAAAATTTTTTTTTGACATGGAGTCTTGCTCTGTCACATAGGCAGGAGTGCAATGGCACAATCTCCGCTCACTGCAACCTCCGCCTCCTGGGCTCAAGTGATTCTCCTGCCTTAGCCTTCCGGGCAGCTGGGATTACAGACGCCCATCACCAAGCACGGCTAATTTTTCTATTTTTAGTAGAGATGGTGTTTCACCAAGTTGGCCAGGCTGCTCTCCTGACCTCATGATCTGCCCACCTTGGCCTCCCAAAGTGCTGGGACTACAGGCCTGAGCCACTGTACCCGGCCTAGACCTGGTAAATTTTGAAAATTGCCATATGTAATCCAGAAGTGTGACCAACTAAAATCCTTTCCTCAGCTATAATGTTGATTGCGACTTGATAACTGATCTGTGGTGGCTCTCGGATCCCTGTGTGTCCTCAGGGCTCCAGGAGCACATGGACCCCTGGGCGGGTCCCTCCGACCCCACAGCTCTTCATCCCAACGCTCCCCAGCAGGTGCTTCTGAGATGGTATTGGGGGTATTTCTGTGTTTTACTGAACATATATACTTCAGGGACAGGCCACAGAAATAGGAGAATGCCCATATTTAATTGCCTAATGCCTGCAGCAACACTTTACTCCCCCAAAAGTATTTTTGCTTTAAAACAAAATAGAAATGTCATATGTTTTTTGCCTTTTTATTTGGTCAAATCAATAGTGACTATAACTGAACCAAAACATGGCTAAGTAAATCAAAACTACTTTCTTCTGGAAGTTTATTTTGGATAAAATAATTGAAGACAGATTACAATGAGACACTGTACAATAAGAGTAGAAAATAATTTAGGAGGGTATTTTAAGCACGGATTCCGACACATTCATAAACATGTTTGCTCCCAAACTCTTACAAAAGAAAATAAGGTTTTTCTCCATCAAAAACAACCCAGTTACACCAGTAAATCTTACCAGTTCTGAAAATCTGAAGCGACTGATACTCCACTAAATGTAGAAATATTGTCTACTCAAAATATTTGTAATATTATGCAGTGACAAAACTTTCCCACATCTATATAGGGTTAACCATAGTTTTCAGCAAAGCAACAAGTGCTTTACTTATTTTGTCTTTTTCAGTTTATACAGAACTCCAGTTTCATGAAACCACACTGTGCCAAGCCAGGAAATAAACAGCAACAGTCTAGCCAAGCCACAATCAAACGGATACTATCTCCTGTCCTTTTTGCCAGCTTTCCTCTTCCCAGAGAGCAAGTGCTTAGGCTTCATATCGAACACGTGTCTGTCTGCCTCCCCTTTCTTCCCCAACCGATTCATCTTCTTCTGGGCATTCTTCATCATAGTCTTGGCTTTCTTCACCATCTAAAAGGAGGAGAAAAAATGAAGTATGTTCATGGCTAAAAACCAATTTACCATTCTGAATTTGAACTACTGGGTAACAATCCGTTTTAATGGTTCCAGTCTGTTCAGTGAAGAGACCCTGTAACATCTCTTTTCTCTTAAGCCCAGCACAGTATCTGCAGGAACTCAATGAATATTTTTGTATAAAGACTGGATGAAAATCATACCTAGGACAAGCTTTACACCCAGGACTAGCTACATTTTAGACCTAGAAGGTCAGAACACATCTGTTTTAACTCCCTCTTATACAACCTAAGGACTCAGGCCCGTGAACCTGTTTTGCTCAGGTCTGATTGACAAGTGGTAATGCCAATATTAACAGCCAGGTTTCAAGATGGCAACGGCACAGAGGAGTGAAGCTCAGGCTTCTATGAAGGAGACTGCAGTTCACACACAGACTTTCTCCTGCATCTCCATTGCCACAATGTTGAAACTAAAAGTTGTTGTGTTTAATAAAAGGACATTTCACCAAGAGAGACTGTGTACATCTAAAGTGTCTTTGCCAAAAGACATTACAAATGAACTAAATGCAACTCAAGCTCTCCACCTGGGGGGAACAATCCTGCAACCTAAGGATGAGCAGGATCACCTGCCAATCGACCCAGGAGTTCCCTCTGGCTGTTCCTCCCACAGGGGGCTTCCTGGGACTTGAGGTCTCCTGGTGCTCAGCAGTGGCCACTTCCTGGCCCTCTTCAGACAACGGGGCCTGAGCCCAGACTGCCGGTGCTGTCAGACCATGCTCTGGCCACCCTCCGCAAAAGGAAAGTGCCACGGAGGGGTCCATCCAGGGCAGCTGTCCAGGGGCGTCCACTTGTACCCTGGCCCGTGCTCTCCTCTAAAGGATGCCACAAAACAAGGGCAGGCAGTGCACACAACCCCTGCATAGCTCCTGCAAATGGCAACTGCGGGTGTTTGCCCTGAACCCTGTGCAATAAACAACAGGGGCTGTCATTTTATCACATTACACAACACAGAGACTGACCTTGACATCCCTAAGACCAGAAACGTCACGTGGAGTTCGAGAGCAGCTCCGACTCCGGGCCACAGAGGACGGGGGAGCGGAGTCTTCCCGCTTTCTTTTCCTAGTGACGCTCCGGGATCTTCTTGCCTGGACTGCGTAGTGGGCCTGCAAAGCAGGGAAAGCAACGCTCAGCGCTCAGGACCCCGGCCCTGCTCCCGGGCTCAGCGCTCAGGACCCCGGCCCTGCTCCCCGGCTCAGCAACAGGCATGAGGTCACTCCAGCAAGAGGGGAGGAGAGGAGTGTTTGAACCATTACCACACGGGCTAAAGATCTTGAAAATACATATTTTCATATTAGTGACACCATTTTAAGTTCACATTAGTAACAATTTCACATTAATTGTAACAATTTCACATTAATTATTGGTCAAATATTCTTATTCGCTTAACAGAAGCTGCTTTATGTAAGAAAGCTGATTTTAACTCCACTTACAGAAACTTAGAACTCTCATTTAAAAGTGATTATTAGAGTATAGCATCACGATTTGTATTTCAGACATAAATAACGCTCTGTCCCTCATCGTCCCGTTTTGGGGGTTACTGATATGAACACAAAGGGACAACCATCAGACAGAAACCGTCAGACAGAAACCGTCAGACAGAAACTGTCAGACAGAAACTGCAGACTGCACATCTAGAGGACGGGGTCTGCAGCCACACCCTGGGCACGTCACGGCGCCGCCTGGTGCTGCTGTGGACACACCCTGGATACGCACAGAGCTGCCTCCTGCGGGCTGTGAAGCTTTTTATTTTTTTTTTGAGATAGTCTTGCTCTGTCGCCCAGGCTGGACTGCAGCCTCAACCCACCACTTCAACCCAGACCCAGGGTCAGGGAATCCTCAACCCAGCCCCAGGGCCAGAAAATCTCTAAAGACGAAAACTGGAAGCTCTCATTTCTTTTGCTGTCATTTCCCACGGCTTTCCAAAACCCTGGTTTGTTTTCTTCCTTTCCTTCCTTTCCTTCCCTTTTTCCTTCCTTCTTTTCTTTTCTCTTTTTCTGAGATGGAGTCTCACCCTGTCACCCAGGCTGGAGTAGAGTGGTGTGATCTCAGCTCACTGAAACCTCTGCTTTCCGGGTTCAAGCAATTCTCCTGCCTCAGCCTCCTGAGTAGCTAGGATTACCGGCAGGCACCACCACGCCCGGCTAATTTTTTGTACTTTTTTTCAGTACGGACTGGGTTTCACAATGTTGACTAGGCTGGTCTCGAACCCCTGACCTCATGATCTTCCAGCGCGCCTTGGCCTCCCAAAGTGCCTGGATTACAGGCGTGAGCCACCACATCCGGCCAGTTTTCTTTATTAAAAAGGTGTATCCCGCCACATGAACACATGAACCGCCCCCACACTCACGTCGTCTTTATCGTCCATGTCAACACCAAGACTGCGCATCTCCTTCTCCAAAACTGTCCTCTGAACCTGAAAAGGAAAAAAATAAATATTTGTTTGAAATTAGTTTGATGAAATGCTGAAAAAAACTTCAAGACAATATATATGTATATATATTTTGCAACAATTATACTTATTTTAGAAGTTGCAATTTTTACTGGGCCTCGCTTTCATGTTTTTGGATAGCTCAATTAAATCCCACGGAAACTAACATTTACGGAACAACTACCGTGGGAAGCATCAGGTATCCTCTACGTCTGTCTGCTTTTCACCACCACATGGGGGAGAGTGTCCTCTACGTCTGTCTGCTCTTCACCACCACACGGGGGGGAGTGTCCCCTCTACAGAGGTCTCACGCCTTTCCGTCTGCTCTTCTTCACTACTCACACGGGGGGAGGTCCTACATCTGTCCGCTCTTCACCACCACACGGGGAGGTCCCCTCTCTACATCTGTCCGTTTCACCACCACATCGGGGAGTGTCCCCTCTACGTCTGTCCGCCTTCACCACCAACGGGGGAGGTCCTCTACGCCTGTCCGCTCTTCACCACCACACGGGGGAGGTCCTCTACGTCTGTCCGCTCTTCACCACCATGGGGGAGAGTGTCCTCTACGCTCTGTCCGCTTCTTCACTACCACACACAGGGAGAGTGTCCTCTATGTCTGTCCGCTCTTCACCACCACACGGGGGAGAGTGTCCTCTCTACATCTGTTCGCTCTTCACCACAACACGGGGGAGAGTGACCGTCTCCATCGGAGGTGAGACACTAAAGCTGAGGTTAGCGAGGCGGTCTAAGACAAAGGCAGGCTAACTCTCTCTCCTTCCAGAGATGGCTGAGCCCCCACCCCGGAGAAGTAAAAAAATGTCCAAGTCCGCCATAACCAGTCACTTGCCACCATATGAAAACTGTGTGTTCAAACAGGAAGACCCACTGAGAGGCATCCTGAATGTCAAGTGACTTCTCTGGTGACATGTTAACCGCCCTGCATGTGGGCTTTCTTTCCCCCATCCCACCCTGCCACAGAGCCAATAAACTGCCTTTTGTAGACTGGGTCAGGTTTCTGTAAATTGCTAAAGAGTCCAGATTTAATGCAGAAATTAAACAACAAGAAAACCAGCCGGGCGCGGTGGCTCACGCCTGTAATCTCAGCACTTTGGGAGGCCAAGGCAGGCAGATCACTTGAGGTCAGGAGTTCGAGACCAGCCTGGCCAACATGGTGAAACTCATCTCTACTAAAAATACAAAAGTCAGCGGGGCGTAGTGGCAGGTGCCTGTAATCCCAGCTACTCAGAAGGTTGAGGCAGGAGAATTGCTTGAACCTGGGAGGTGGAGGCTGCAGTGAGGAGAGATTCTGCCATTGCACTCCAGCCTGGGCAACAAAGCAAGACTCCATCTCCACCCCCGCAAAAGAGAGAGAGCGAGAAAAGAACAGGAAAATGTTAACTGATAGCCTTAAATGTCTGTGAATCTTAGGTTACAGTTTTACTCTGTACAACTGCAAAAAGACTGGATCTAGAATAGTGCCAAACTCGAAGCTGAAAATCACCAAGAAAGGACACAGTAAAGAATATGAAAGATCAGGACGTGAGCAATCTTGCAAATCCATAAACCAATAAAATAACAATGTGCAATCTTATGGCCATGAATGGGTGGAAAGTTGTTATTTAGCAATGATCACACAGGAATCCAATCTGCAAAAACGAGATCACACCTCTTTGGAAAGACACAAACTTGCCTTCTTAGCAGTTCGCGGCATCCTGGGTCCCTGTGTATTCTTTTCTTTGGACTCCAGAATTTTCAACTTCTTTTTCTCTCTAATCTGATTTGCCAGCTGTCGGATTTCCAGCATCTCCTCATCTTCACTCTCAGATTCACTGTCATACTCTCCAGCAGCTGTTCTCAGCTCTTCTTCTTTTTCTAATTCTTCCAATTTCTTTAAAAACAGAGTTGTAATTAAACAAAATTAACAGTGAGAAAACCCCTAAGTCAGTGAGTGTGGCAGTGTGTATATATAAGCTATGTTTCCCTGCCTCGAAAGACAGAGCGATTGCCCTGGTCCGGTCCCACCTGGGCCCTGCCTACGTGCCATTTACCTCACAGGGAGGGTTCTGTGAAGAAAATGGAGACCACGTGAACGCCAGCTGCCAGCAAGTCAGGAACCGCTGTGCACCGTTTCCCTTTTGTAAAACAATTAAATTCCAAGGCTAAAAATGTGCAGAGACTGCCTCCTTCACTTCCAATGCTCCCAGCAGACACACAAAAGGAACTCAGTCCTGAGAAACTGAATTCGTGCCACATCCCATGTATCCGTTCTAATGTCATCCCAAATACAACATCACTGGATACAAATAAGACAAAAGTGAAAACTAAAATACATGCGTGTTTATCACACCCTAATGAAGCAACCCAGTCAGGAGCCCAACAGGCAGATGTGCCTGCGTGAGACTCTGGCCAGGAGTGCAGAGGGTGAGGCTGGGGGGCCAGGCCTCATGGAAGCGGATGGCACGGGCACAGCTGTGTCGGAGGAGGGGAGTCTCAAGGCTTCTCACGCCTGGCAGCGCGGACTGCAGAGGGGAAGAGGCTGGGAAGGCAGGCGGCCACTGCAGGGACAGTGAGGGCATGGGCTGGACGAGGGCCCCAGCAGTGGCGAGAGCAGATGCCCTGAGGCCACTCCTCCAGCACCAATGAAATTGAGATGCTGCCCCCAGAATCTGCTATCCCAGAATCTGCTATGGAGGCACAGGGAGCACAGAGACCATGAGACTGAAAATGTGAACTCAACTATGGAGGGCCTGTGGGAACCAAGGAGTGGAAACGTGGGACATGCAGAGGGCAAGTATTATATAAAGCATGTTTCACACAGCTCAACTGAGAAGGCAGGATAACAACTAATGGAGGACATGGTTTAAGTATGTTTTCGTTTTTTAAAAGGATGAGTAAAACTTGTGGACATTTATATGCTAAGAAAAAGCATGTAGGGAGGGGACTGAGGCAGGAAAAAGATGTGACAGCGGAGAGCTCTCAAGGAATAGGGCCCAGCAGAGCAGAGCCCATCCCGGGCCCGGCACCCTGCCAGAGTCTCGGGGCAGGGAAGAGGTGCCGGGGGCAGAATCAGGATCGAGGGGACAGGCCCAGAAGCTGTGCTATCTTCCAGCAGTAATATTATGACAAAAAGGAAAACAATCCACAATTTAAAAAGTGACACAAACCTTCATGATGGCTGGATCAATATAATCAGCTATATTATGGCCTTCCCAGATTTCTGGTATCTTATCATGTTTTTCAGACGAATTCATTAAATCCCAGTACTCTAAAGTTAAAAAAACGGTGGTTACATTTACAGCAGTTTTTAATATCTTCAAGTACTACGTGCGTAAAATGAGTTGTGACTGACGGCAAGTCAGCGACCACCGCAGAAGAGAGCACGACGTGCAATTCCACATGCCGCACCAACAGCATCACCCTCACTCAACACCCACACGCAGAGAAAGCGACAAAAACCACCCCACCGTCCCAAAACAACAGGAAGCAACTCCCACATCACCCTCACTCAACACCCACACACGGAGAAAGCTGCAAGTCACCCCACCGTCCCAAAACAACAGGAAACAACAGAAGAACTCCCACTGAGTGCTATCAGTATGCAACTTCTTTTTTGAGACAGTCTCTCGCTCTGTCATCCAGGCTGGAGGGCAGTGGTGCAATTTCTGCTCACTACAGCCTCGACCTCCCAGGGTCAAGTGATCCTCCCATCTCAGCCTCCCGTGTAGCTGGGACTACAGGCACATGTCACCACACTTGGCTAATCTTTGTATTTTTTGTAGAGACAGGGTTCTGCCATGTTGCCTAGGCTGGTCTCAAACTCCTGGGCACAAGCAATCCAGTGTTGTGATTGCAGGCGTGAGCCACCACACCTGGTCCTCAGGATGCAACTTTTAATCTTGAAATTGACAAATAGGCTGAAACACTTTTACTCATTAAAGTCTTTCCCCCCTTTTCTGAAATACTTCACGTTCAACTGGCATTTTATAATAATGATCCCACTCTGGGCCTTACTCTGAAGATCCAAAATATAATCATCTCCCATTTCCAGCTCAAGATCTCGTTCCTGCAATGGAAAGAGAAATGATCATCAGCTTCCTTTTGCCGTTCAGATCCAGAAATGCTCTGCCCCTTGTCACTTGAAACAATATTTTCTCCAATCCCCTCAGTATCAGTGGGGTTCACCTTCCATTTCTGGTAGGAAGGTTGTTTCTTATTTCAGTGCCTGTGGGGCCTGCCTTTGGGTTCCGGTAGGAAAGCTGTTTCTGGCCGTCTGTGGACTGTCCATCCTACTCATGCATTTTATTCATGGCCATCTTCCCTCAAGCCAAAGAGCTCCATGACAGGGGCTTCTGCAGGGGGACTCACTGCTGTGTCCGCAGCCTGATGGGGCCGGTGCCTGGGCACCCGCGCCTCCTGTTCGATGCCCCAGGCCCCTGTGACACGCACACACAGCCTGCCTCCCCCAGTGAGAACACCGGGCAAGAGCTCCGGCAGCATACCCTCTTCTTCTTGGGCTCCTCAATTTCCATCCTCTTCCTGCGAGCCACCACTCCGTCAGGGATGAAAGGGGGCCTCTCCTGAGAAGACACCACAAAAAGTATTTATGTGAAATGCCTGCTGAATGAGAAACTTACAAAGCCGAAAAAGTAGAAACAAATTCCCTATGTGTAAGGGGTACGGAAAACCATACCCAGACCAGTTAAAACCAACAGATTATTTTAGGGGCAAGGAGAGGGTTTCGGGGTCACTTTGCGCAGAGACCAGGAGAACTCCACACAGTGATTCCAAAGTTTATCCAGGAAAAACAGAAATCACGATTATCGTGAAAAATTACGGAAGAAGAAAGTGGTAAGAAACAACACTGGATCAATAAATGAAAGAAATTTAGACATAAACTCAAGTGCATATAAGAATTCAATGGAAAGATAAAATTTCCAATACTCAGGTCAGAAATGCCGATCACTTGGAACGGAGTGCAACCTCCACCCTCACAACAGAACCAACTCAAGACATGGTGAAGACTATCTAAAAAAGCTAATTTTTAATGCAAGTATAAAAGATAATTTTTTTTTTTTGGACAGAGTTTCACTCTTGTCTCCCAGGCTGGAGTGCAATGGAGTGATCTTGGCTCACTGCAACCTCCGCCTCCCGGGTTCAAGCAATTCTCCCACCTCAGCCTCCTGAGTAGCTAGAATTACAGGTGCACGCCTGACTATTTTTGTATTTTTAGCAGAGATGGGGTTTCACCATGATGGCCAGGCTGGTCTCGAACTCTTGACCTCAGGTGATCCACCCACCTCGGCCTCCCAGAGTGCTGGGATTACAGATGTAAGCCACTGCACCCAGCAAGAAAATATACTTTTAAAATGACTTTGGAATGAATGGTAAGCCTTTCTATGTACAATGGAAACCCAAAGAGCCAGAAATATTAATGTATTTTACTAGTTTAAAAATGTGGCCGGGCGCGGTGGCTCAAGCCTGTAATCCCAGCACTTTGGGAGGCCGAGACGGGCGGATCACGAGGTCAGGAGATCGAGACCATCCTGGCTAACACGGTGAAACTCCGTCTCTACTAAAAAATACAAAAAAAAAAACTAGCCGGGGGTGGTGGCGGCGCCTGTAGTCCCAGCTACTCGGGAGGCTGAGGCAGGAGAATGGCGTAAACCCGGGAGGCGGAGCTTGCAGTGAGCTGAGATCCGGCAACTGCACTCCAGCCTGGGTGACAGAGCCAGACTCTGTCTCAAAAAATAAAAATAAAAAAATAAAAAAATAAAAATGTACAGCACATTTGAGGTTAAAAAGGCAAGTGATAAAAAGAGAAAAAAAATATTTACAGTGTATCTAACAAGAATCCAACCTTTGTAATATAAAAATAACCAATCAGTGAGAAAAACATAAACAGCCTAAAGAACTCTGAAAAGGCCAATAAGCAGACAGACAAGCTCAACCGCACCCATCATTACAGAAACACACAACAATAAAACCATCTTTACACCACAAGGCTGACAGAGTGAGCGCCCGACCACGTCAAGGACACAGAGGGAAGGACACAGCCTCCGGTGTCAGTGGAGCACACACCAGGAAGGCGTCTGTGGGACAGGAATGCGTCTGTGGGTCAGGAATGCTGTCCACACCACATTGTGAAGTGTGGACACATTTGCAGTAAAACATGAAGACACAGCGTAACGACGTGTGCCCATCCACAATGGACAAAACAATGAAAATTTATTTTATTTTACTTTTTTATAGAGACAGGGTCCCATTACGTTGCCCAGGCTGGTCTCGAACTCCTGGGCTTCAGTGATCCTCCCACCTTGGCCTCCCAAAGTGCTGGGATTACAGGCGTGAGCCACCTCCCCGGCCAAAAAAATGAAAAATTAAAGAATGAAACAGATTTCCATCTGTGTTTAAAGAACTTTTTAAAAATTAATCTTCTATGTCAGACACATTTCTGGAAGGATAAACAGCGGCCGTGTCATGCAGTGAATAAAATTAATCTTCTATGTCAGACACATTTCTGGAAGGATACACGACGACCGCGTCATGCAGTGAGAAACAGGTGCCATGTGGCGCTTTGCACTTTCTTATCCTTCGCTGTACGCAAGGAGGTGAAACTGAGGCCCACCCATGATATCCACCTGCGAGCGTGTGAAGCTGGATCTGAGGCTTCTGGAAAAGGCACATGGATGCCACCTGCTGACAGCGCAGAGAGCCCACGGCAGTCCCAGGAGCCGCCTTACCTTATCATCCCTCCTGGTTGGGACAGCCAGGTGCAGTCTATTCAGCACCTCATTCACTTTATTTCCCTTCATTTTGGTTTCCACTCGATGAGCCAAAAGCCTATCGCAAGCCTAATAACGTAAAAAAGAAGGCACAGTCACAAACACAGCCTCCAGCAGCCTCTGGCTGCAGATTCCAGAAGCCACAGATCAGAGCCACTGAGACTTTTCCCTCAAGGTAACTAACATGTAGGGGCCACACCCTCTGAGGCCCAGGCAGAAGCGGCCCTGAGGGAAGATGCATCTTCAGTGCCTGGGCCTCACTCCCACCACAGTGACCCCGTGCACAGGCGCAGGGCGCCCTCCAACTGCCCGTCACAAACTGGAGGCAATGTTGCCCCTCAGGACTCTAACCCGAGCAACAAATCCCTGGGTGCCACCACGGCATCAGGAGCGCCTTCTTTTTAAATCCCTGAGTGCGACCACGGCATCAGGACCGCCTTCTTTTTAAATCCCTGGGTGCAACCACGGCATCAGGAGCACCTTCTTTTTTTTTGAGACAGAGTCTCACTCTTGTTGCCCAGGCTGGAGTGCAGTGGTGCGATCTCGGCTCACCGCAACCTCTGCCTCCTGGGTTCAAGCTGTTCTCCTGCCTCAGCCTCCCGAGTAGCTGGGATTACAGGCATGCGCCACCATGCCCAGCTAATTTTGTATTTTTAGGAGAGACGGGGTTTCACCATGCTGGCCAGGCTGGTCTCGAACTCCCGACCTCAGGTGATCCGCCCGCCTCGGCCTCCCAAAGTGCTGGGATTACAGGCATGAGCCACCGCGCCCGGCCAGGAGTGTCCTTTTCTTTGAGATAAAAACAACGTGAAGTAGAAAGTAATTAGGACAGCACGTGAAATCCAGCAGCAGACTGCCTCCTGCAAAAGCTGTTCTGCTTTTCAGACTTTTCTCCCTTCTACTTCTGAACAGGTTCCATAAAAATAATTTTCACTGTACTTGCTACTGAAATATTAGAAGGCCAGAGACAACAGCTGCTTTAGGGTAAAGTTGTTTGGGGTGACAACAGCAAAGCATCCCCTCAAACCCCACTGTCCACTGGGCGCAGGGAAAGTGGGTCTTAGAGGGGTCTGTCTTCACGCCTCGCTCTCGCACGCCACCCGCCTCGCTACCGCGAGGGCTCCAAGTGTAATAATGTCTAGAAAGAAAACTATTTTCTCCCCATGACTGACTTGAATCAAACAACAGATAGTAAAAAGACTGATACCTGACTTAAGGCAGCACTGACCTCTGTTTTAACTTTAATAACACCTTCCTCAGTCAGGGTGCTGGTCTCTATTACAGGGAATCCTTCAGTCTGCAAATCTGTAAATATTTTCTGGGAATACAAAGAAAAAATGAGAGATGTATTATTTATTTCCAGTTCCCTATGGAACAAACTGTACAGTTCTGCAAATGGAGGTTGCAAATGTGAACTGTTCAACATCTGTGGCTGTTTCAAAGTCTTAAAAAACAGACATATCCTAAAAACAGTTATTTTCTTCATATTCTTCTATGATCAAGAAAATACAAATGACATCAACAAGATGGCTGACTCGTAGCCCCTCACATCTGTCCCTTACAACAAAGGCAATCAGAATAACCAACAACTACATGTTAGTAACTGAGGGGGAGCTCCAGAGGGCATCACAGGAGTGACAGGCACCCTGGTGAGTAGAAAAACGATGAAATACAGCCCAGAGAAAACACTGGGGGCCAGGCACGGTGGCTCAAGCCTGTAATCCCAGCCTTTGGGAGGCCGAGGCAGGCGGATCATGAGGTCAGGAGATACACACTGTCCTGGCTAACACGGTGAAATCCCGTCTCTACTAAAAATATAAAAAATTAGCCAGGCGAGGTGGCGGGCGCCTGCAGTCCCAGCTACTCGGGAGGCTGAGGCAGGAGAATGGCGTGAACCCGAGAGGCAGAGCTTGCAGTGAGCTGAGATCCGGCCACTGCACTCCAGCCTGGGCGACAGAGTGCGACTCCGTCTTAAAACAAACCAACCAACCAAACAAACAAAAAAAACGCTGGGCTGCCAACAATCCCCCCACAGGCGGGATGCAACGGGTCCCAGGAGGAGGTTCTCCCTACAGCGAAGGGTAAGCAAGAGGATGGCAGCAGCTCCCACCACCACTCTGGACACCCACAGCCCTCACCACTGGAGTCCCCTGGCGTCCTCGCAGCTAAGCTCCCACACAGAAGGAGCTGACACTGGGCCCCGTCTGTTGGGCCCATGGGGCGGCTATACTCCGTCATCTTGGGACTGGAACTACGGCTGCAGTACGTCTTGCTCAGGGGAAAGTGGCCACAGCTCCCCTTCATCCCTGAGGCTAAACTGCCTCCAAACTACCCAAACCTGGTGGCCCAACATCCCCAAAGCTGTGAGCAGCTGCTACACCCTTCCCAGCAGGGCTTGGTGGAGGTGGAGCCCCTTCCCAGCAGGGCTTGGTGGAGGCGGAGCTCCTTCCCAGCAGGGCTTGGTGGAGGCGGAGCCCCTCTCCCGGCCCTTGCCCCAGCACCCAACGGTACCCTGCCTCCAGGTAAATAGCACTGTGGCCTCTCCGGGCACCCCTGTCTCCCTGCTGCCGGAGCTGAAGCAGTGCGCGGCCTCCTGGGAAATGCCCAGAATGGTCACATATCCCAGCACCTACACTGAAGAGATACCTTGTATCCCAAGGAAACAGTGCCTGGGCCACCCAGAAGAGTCACAACCCTCAGGCCCAAGCTAATCAGCCATGCACCATGGGGAGGAGCTGACATTGTACTCCACGTCCCAGGGAAACAGGGCAGGGGCTGAGCCGAGGCACCTGCCCCACCAGGCAAACAGCTCCAGCACCTGCTCCCTGGAGCTGGACTAACCCTACAGTCTGAGCTGGAGAGTCACCACTCTTTCCAGGAAACGGAGTCACTGCTGTCCTCCTCCCTGTCCTCCAAAGCCCAAATGACAGCCGGACTGGTCCATTCTGGGGTCCTTGCTGCCACCTCGCTCAGCATCACAGGGTCTGGGATACTGCTGGGCCCCACCATCCCAGGGTCCAGAGTTACCACTACACAGTGCCTCGTCCCCTCAAGCTGACACTAAGCCCTCCCTACTGGCTCAGGTTTCTGAAGTGCAGCTCTACCCTGCTTCCCAGGCTCAAACCTCCAGAGTACTTCTTCCTTGGAGTCAGGCCAGGACTGTGCCCTGACCCCATGGGTGGAGTCACAGCTACAACCTGGCCCTGTGGGCCTAAGCTGCTAGGAGTGCTTCAGGATCACAGATCCACCACAGAGAGCAAACCTGCACACCAAGGCCAGATACCATGATAGGCACACAAGACCCTAAGGCTAGGACCCCAGTCCCACAGCTACTCTGAGTACCTGTAGCTGGAACCCAGCACCATAGCAGCTGCTTGTAGACCATCTCAGACCTGACACCCAGAAAGATCCCTTCAGATAAGTCCCCTATTGTGGGAAAAACAAGAATAGCAGGACCCCAAAAGCCCTTGACACCAAGGACATTAAAAACGTACACCACTGCTGGCACAAACTTCCAGAGCTGAGGCCACGGAGCCACCCAGTTACTGCCAACATTTCGTGGAGGTGAGGAAGCTGCACAGAAACAATGTCACTGCTCCTATCCAGAAAGTCACGGCTCCCTCCCCAAACGGCACGTTCAAACCCAGTGAGGTGAAAGCCTCTCTCCACGAAAGCCAATCGAGAAGAAAGTATGAAAGAGGCCATTGTTCCACCAGATGCAGAGACATCAATGAAGGGACACAAGAAACATGAAAAAGCAAGGAAATAAGAAATCACGAAAGGAATATTAACTCTCTAGGAACAGACTCTAATGAAAAGGAAATCATGAGTTGCCAGAAAGAGAATTCAAAATAATTTTTCTGAAGGAAACTCAATGAGAAACAAGAAAATACAGATAGACAATTCAACAAAATCAGGAAAACAATTTCATGATATGAACAAGAAATTAAATTGAGACAGAAATTATAAAAAAGAGCCAAACAGAAATCCTATAGCTGAAGAATTCAATGGATGAGAGAATACAATAGGCAGTTTTAACAGCAAACTGGATGAAGCAGAAGAAAAATCTGTCATTTGAAACTACCTAGTCAGAGAAAAAAAAAGCAGTAAGAATGAAAAAGAATGAAACGAGCCTACAAGATTTACAGGAAAACATTAAGAGAATACACGTTGGTATTATGGGAGTTCAAGAAGGAGACGGGAAAAGGCTTAATAACCTATGTAATGAGATAGCTGAAAACTTTCCAAGACTGGGGAGAGGTACGGACATCTAAAACCAGGAAGTTCAAAGATTCCCAAATAGAGTCAGCCCAGAAAGGTCTTCCCCAAGCCACATTATAGTCAAACTGTCAAATATCAAATACAAAGGAAATTCTAAAAACAGCTAGAGAAAAGCTTCAAGTCACATATAAGAAAATCCCCATTAGACTAACAGCGGATTTCCTTGCAGAAACTTTGCACGCCAGGAGGGAATGGGGTGATATATATTCAGTGTGTTGGAAAAGAAAAAGAAGACTGCCAGCCAACTATACTACATCCAGCAAAGCTATCCTTCGGAAATAAGGAGAAATAAATTCTTTCCGAGAAAACCAAAAACTGAGAGAATTCATCACTAGTAGACCAGCCTTACAAGAAATACTTAAGAAAGTCCTACATCTGGAAGTGAAGACGATAATCACTATCACGAAAACATGAAAAAGTATCCAAGAAATTCACTTAACCTGTAGAGACACACATAGACTGAAAACGAGGAGATACAAAAAGATATTCTATACAGATGGAAACCAAAAGCAAGTAGGAGTAGCTACACTCCTATCAGATAAAGCAGATTTTAGGTCAAAAACAGTAAAAAGAGACAAGAAGATCATTATATAATAATAAAGGGGCCAATAATACTTGGGGACATCAACATCAGGCTCTCAACATTAGACAGATCCTAGGCAAAAAAGAATCAACAAATATTGGATTTAAAGTGCACTGTAGGCCACGTGCCGTGGCTCACACCTGCAATCCCAACACTTTGGGAGGCCAAGGCGGGCGGATCACTTAAGGTCAGAAGTTTGAGACCAGACTGGCCAACATGGTGAAATCCTGTCTGTACTAAAAATACAAGAAATTAGCTAGGTGTGGTGGCACGTGCCTGTAATCCCAGCTACTTGGGAGGTTGAGGCAGGAGAATCACTTGAACCTGGGAGGCAGAGGCTGCAGTGAGCCGAGATCGTGCCACTGCACTCCAGCCTGGGCGACATAGGAAGACTCCGTCTCAAAGAACAAAAAAAAGTGCACTGTAGACCAAACATCTACAGAACATGTCATCCAACCACTGCATGATACACATTCTTCTCCTCAGTCCATGGAACATTCTCCAGGATAGACCATATGTTAGGCCAAAAAACAAATCTCATCAATTTTTAAAAATTAAAATCATGTCAAGTATCTTTTCAGACCACAATGGAATAAAACTAGAAATCAATACCCAGAGAAACTTTCAAAGCTGTAAAAAAAGACACCCATGGGAATTATAAACATGTCCCAGAATGACCAATGGATCAATGAGGAAATTAAGGAAGAAATTAAGAAGGTGATGCTGACATGGCTGGTCCAGGACCACAATTTGAAAGCCACTCTACCAATGCATGCTTCTAAAAGCATTTATCATGAAGGACGCCTATTAAAAAGGGTTGTAGGACCAGGCGCGGTGGCTCACGCCTGTAATCCCAGCACTTTGGGAGGCCAAGGCGGGTGGATCACGAGGTCCGGAGATCAAGACCATCCTGGCTAACACGGTGAAACCCCATCTCTACTAAAAATACAAAAAATTAGCCGGGCGTGGTGGCGGGCGCCTGTAGTCCCAGCTACTCAGGAGGCTGAGGCAGGAGAACCCGGGCGGCGGAGCTTGTAGTGAGCCAAGATCACGCCACTGCACTTCAGCCTGGGCGACAGAGCCAGACTCCGTCTCAAAAAAAAAAAAAAAAAAAGGGTTGTAGGATTCAATTAGTTTGAAAAATTATGTCCAACAATACTGCCTGTCTCTTGGAGAAAGCTAGCAGGCACGTCTCACTCATAGATCCAGAAAGCCCCAAATTCCAAGATCCTCCTTCTCCTTCACTCAATCATTCGTTTCCAAACTCATTTAATCACAGAACCTGTTTTATGAATTAACACCTGTGAGCACCCTCCTCCAACAGTTCTCTCCTAAGTAATCACATTTTCCAAAAGTTCAGCCCATCAAATACAGATAGTTCTACACACTCAAGAACAAAGTAGGAATCCAGAAACCTATGTTTTAGTTTTAGTTTGCCAATAACTACGTTTTTATTATGTCATTTCACTAAACCACTGAGGATATTATCTCAACTATAAAATACAATTGTGGACTAGTATTGCTAAAATTCCTTCATCTAAACTTTGGTTGTCTGAGATGAGAATTCAGAATTGGTAAGTAAGAAATATTTAAAATATTAACGTGATTTACCTGATCATCTTCAGAAAGTTCAGCTATTCTCTTCACATCACATTTGTTGGCTACAACTATGAGAGGCTAGGCAAGGAAGAAAAATAATGAAATCATTATTCTCATACTGCAGGATATGAAGCAAAACATGAGTGACCACACACACCTTGTTGATGAAGAGAGGTCTGATGTTCTGGAAGAGCTCTAGCTGCTCCCTCAGCCCATGGCCACACTGCTCAGACAAATCCATCACGTACAGGACCGCAGCACGGAGGTGGGCCAGGGCAGTGATGGCCTGCATCTCGATGGTGTTCCTATCCTCCAGAGGGTGGTCCAGGATCCCAGGAGTGTCTACAACCTAACACAGCCAGACCTTGTCACTGAAAGCACACTCACCCACAAGCTTCTTGTCCAGCACATCCCAGAAGTCACTCACACATGCCCAACCAGACCTAATAATCTTACAGGAGAATCGTGTTAAAAAAAAAAAAGTAGGGCCAGATGCAGTGGCTCATGCCTGTAATCCCAGCACTTTGGGAGGCCAAGGCGGGTGGATCATGAGGTCAGGAGATCGAGACCATCCTGACTAACATGGTGAAACCCCGTCTCTACTAAAAATACAAAAAACTTAGCTGGGCGTGGTGGCAGGAGCCTGTAGTCCCAGCTACTTGGGAGCCTGAGGCAGGAGAATGGCGTGAACGTGGGAGGTGGAGCTTGCAGTGAGCTGAGATAGTGCCACTGCACTCCAGCCTGGGCGAAAGAGAGAGACTCTGTCTCAAAAAAAAAAAAAAAAAAGTAGGTCTCCTAAACACCATAAAATAAAGCAGTGAGAAAAAAGTCCATATTATTTATTTAAACATCAAAAAAGGGAGGAGGAACCCTGTAGAGCTCAATGAAATGCTAGCCATGACACTGAGAGAAATGACTCCTCTTTTTACCAGTGACATCACAAAACACAAAAACTGGGATAACTGAGAACCCTCCCATGTCTTAGGAATTACTTTCTTCACAATTTATAAAATTATAGTGTGAAAACATTGCTTCATGCTTTTTATTTATTTATTTATTTTTGAGACAGTTTCACTCTTGTCGCCCAGGCTGGAGTGCAATGGCACAATCTCGGCTCACTGCAACCTCTGCCTTCCAGGTTCAAGTGATTCTCCTGCCTCAGCCTTCCAAGTAGCTGGGATTACAGGTGCCCACCACCACGCCCAGCTAATTTTTGTATTTTTAGTAGAGACGGAGTTTCGCCATGTTGGCCAGGCCGATCTTGAAATTCTGACCTCAGGTTATCCACCTGCCTTGGCCTCCCAAAGTGTTGGGATTACAGGCGTGAACCACCGTGCCCGGCCTGCTTCATGCTTTTAAACTGTATATATGCCATTTCTGATAACAGAGTTAGAAATGACACAAAGAGAATTTCATTTTATGTTAACAAAATGCAGAAATCCACACTAGCAGCTGGCTGCCTCCCCTGAATTATATCAGAGACATGTGACCTGTTATTATGCATCCCCAGAGCTCAGACGAGTTTTCTTTATGATGATAAATTTCAAGTTCTTGATTACCCTAGATAAACCAATATATTTTTTCTGTTTAAAGACAAGACTCTCACCAGGTGCGCGTGACTCACACCTGTAATCCTAGCACTTTGGAAGGCCAAGGTGGGCAGATCACCTTAAGTCAGGAGTTCAAGACCGGCCTGGCCAACATGGTGAAACCCCCTCTGTACTAAAAAAACACAAAAATTAGCCCGTCGTGGTGGTGCACACCTGTAATCAATCCCTGCTACTCGAGAGGCTGAGGCAGGAGAATCACTTGAACCTCGGAGGCAAAGGCAAAGGTGGCAGTGGGCCAAGATCATGCCACTGCACTCCAGCCTGGGTAACAAGAGTGATACTCCATCTCAAAATAAATAAATTTAAAAAAATAAAGACAAGACTCTTACCTGCCAACGGAGATACTTATAATCCATGTGCCCAACAAACAGAGACTTGGTGGTGAACGCGTAGGGCTGGACATCCACGTCTGCTCTCGTCACCTGAAACAACAGTGAGAACTTTCAGAATCACCTCGTTTCCTCTGTGTACACAGGGCATCTGTGTGTTTTCACAAGACTAATTTTGGGTAGGAAAAAACCATAGAAGAAACCTCACACAATAAAACTGCATCAAAACAGGAGCCTGGTACCTCTTCCTTTACACCACCAGGCCAAGGACTGGGACACGAGGACAGCGTGAGGGCCGGCATCTGGAGGACAGCCACCAGTTCCCCTCACCCTCCCACGTCCTGCCCCACCGCCTGCAACGCCCTCAGAGCTCTTTATGATGACACGAATGTTCCGTCTGCACAGTCCAAACGGGGCCACCAGTCACGCACTGCTAACGAGCCTTCAATATGTGGCTCATGTGACTGAGGAGTTGAAATTTTCATTTTGCTGAATTAAACTGCAATTTAAAAAGCCACCTGGTCCAGCAGCCACCAAATCGGCCCCAGAGCACTGGCTCACTGTGGCAGGTTCAGAGCTGACAAGCATTTGAAACATCAGCAAGGACCCTACAGAGCTTTGCTGGTCACCACGTCACAGCAACCTATAGACAAAGCAAAACTTACAAATCGATTTTAAAGCAAAAGTGATCTTAAGGAGGGTGGAGTAGTTCACGCCTGTAATCCCAGCACTTCAGGAGGCTGAGGCAGGAGGATGGCTTGAGCGTGGGCGTTTGAGATCAGCCTGGGGAACACAGTGAGACTCCGTCTCCACAAAAAATAAAAAAATTAAACAGGTGTGATGGCGTGCACCTGTGGTCCCAGCTACTTGGGTGGCTGAGGTGAGAGGATTGTTTGGGCCCAGGAGGTTGAGGCTGCAGCGAGCCAAGTCTGCACCACTGCACTTCAGCCTGGGCGACAGAGCAAGACCCTGTCTCAAAAAGCAGAAGAAAAAGTTTCAACAAAAAGAAAGAATTTTTAAAATTAAAAATAAAGTGATCTTGGCACCGAGTAAGTCAAATTTTCTGGGCACATGAGCTGCTGCTGGTTGTAAATTCACATTTCAAATGTTGCTTTGCCTCTTCCTGGGTCCCTCAAACTCAGCCAAATTTTCCTGAAGAACCAAATGACCGAGTCTCTTAAATGTTACGCTCAAATCCTAGTCAGTGAGCTCACCCAGGGAAAGAGCGACTTGGCACCATACCTCTACTGGACCACGTATGATTTCATGTGAAAGCTGACACAGCAACCAAGGTAACAGATCACCCAGAAGCAGCTGGAGACTGGAAGACCTCAGCTGGGCGAGTGTCACCTGCCACTAGAGCCCCCCTGGCATAGCCATTCCAGGACAGGCCAACACCACCCAAGAAAACCTCTCCAGTTGTCAACAAAAATGCACTTACATGTCTCAAATTCCTTAGAAATCACAGGACACACACAAGAACACAAAGTAATGGCTTCTGTAATAGTAATATAAATGTAGATACAGACAAAGTCAATCCTCTCCAAGAGGAACTCAGGTGTGCTCAGGCACTGGGGCCTCCTGCAGACCAGGGCAGTGTTTACTCAAGGACCAACTCGGAGGCCAAGATTATCACCAAGGCCATCTTGAATCCCGCGCAGTCAGAACACAGTAACGCTGACCTAAAACGGTCAGATTATTTGCTTTACGATAAAAAACAGACCAACCTTATTGATGAAACTGGACTTCCCAACATTTGGGTACCCACACAAAAGCAGAGTCCTGGTATTTGGATCAATGGTTGGCAAACGGGATAAATGCTGACGCACTATGAAAATATGAAAAGTTCAAATTGAAAAATTAAGAAACTCAAAGTGTAAGATTTGCTTTCAATTTTCTTTTCAACTTAGTTACAGTCCAGGCCTGTGGTGATATTAATCTTACTCCAACTTTTGTAATGCAAAAGTGATGGAAAAATAGTTGCAGAGAGTAACCGTATATATATAGTATATTCAATAGTTATTTCCCAAGTTTGGCTCTAGTAAGAATCATATTCCTCAGCCCTTCTAAGCCCATGTTTTAACTCATTAGGTGAAAAGTGGGGCCAACAGCGTTGCTGGAAGTGTCCAGATAATTCTCATTAGCAAGATGACATTAGGGAAACAGCGTACTTTGAAGCCTGCATGCCATGCCGTTCTGGCTACACATGGGTTACTGCCATTCTGCCACCTCATCTGTAACACACATGGCTCCAGGGTGGCATCCCTTGGGCCATCACGAAGACCACACAGATCTGCAGGAAAGCACCTGCAAAGCGTCCACGTATCATAAATTTTGTTTAAAATTATTTGCAAGATGCAGGAGGGATAAGAAAACCAAATGAATCAAAATAATTTGTCATGTAAGAATACACACAAATAAATAGGCAAGTAATTGTTTCAATAGAATCCTACTACGTTAATTCAGAAAGTGCTATTAAATAAAAGTATTTTTAAAAATAAAAAAGTCAATAATAAACTATGAGCCATCTTATTTTTTATACTTTTCAGTACTTTCTCATGATTTTTTGTCTATGCCTTACCTATTAAATATGAAATACATAAATTTTCTTACCAGTGCTGTTGATTTGTAAGTATTATACGTGCTACCACTTTTTCAATAAAAACCAGCCTATTACTGTTTCTCATAGGTAAAGCTAGGAAAAATAACTGACCCGGTCATCTCCAAAATACAACAAAAACAGACATCTCAAGTCCTCAACAAGGACACATCCTCTCAGCAGGACACTAACGCAGTTCCTGCAGATGTGTGACAAGCACCTTGCTCCAAATACTCCAAACTCTGCTTCTGCCTCTTGATCACCGTGCACATCCGTCCCAGGGCTGCGCGCTTCAGCTGTTTGCAGCGGTAGAGAGAGTCGCCGTACTTCATCAGTCGCACGTAATCTTTAGCAACACTGTAAAAAATAAAAAGCACTAGTTTTTTTTTTCCCACTTTTGATAACTTAAAAGACACTACAGTAAAAAAGTACCTTACTTGTCCACTAAATTTTTGGCAATATTTATTTGCCCCAGAGCCAACTTGTAATGATCCTTGTCGTAGAGAATATTCATCAAATCAGCATAGAACGGATGAATATCCTGTAACAAACAAAAAAAGCACACCATGGTCACTTTGGGCCGGCAGCTTCTCATCCCTAGAAGTACCACTTGAAGAACAATTTCTTTCCCTCTCCCTTCAAGCCCGCAGTGTCTCCTCCTCAGTTCCCTCTCCCGGCCAGGGGCCCTGTCTATTTAGTCCTCTGAGAAAACAAGCATCAGAAGGGATGCGGGCGCCAATGGTGACGGCTCGCACCCACCTCGCTCCCAGCGCAGTGGTGGAGCTGTAGGACCCAGCAATGGCCAGCCCCCAGCCCTGCATGTGCCCTTCCTGCTGCTCACGAACTCAGCGCCAGAAATTCTTCCCTCCACCGGACTATTCCCATCAGCCTAAAAATTTGCCGTTATTTCCCAATCTTTAGGAAAAAAAATTAAAAACGCCCGTGGCCCCCAAATCCTTCCTATTCCTTCTCTTTGCTCCCAGGAGGTCCTGTGTCTCTCCTCTTCTCTCCTCCCTCTCTTGAACCCACTCTCACCAGAATTCTGTGTCCACCACTCCTTCTAAACAGCCTACAAGCTCACCAAGGACCTCCCAACGACCAATTCTCAGTTTTTAAAATCTCACAGACCTCTTGAAGCACTGGGGGCTGGCCACGCATCCTGCCTGCAGCATTCTCCTCACAGCTTCCAGGTAAAGAGTCTGCCCCCTCTAAGTCCTGTGCTGGCTCGTGCTCACAGCTCTACCCGAAACATTCATGCTCCCCACAGCACCCTTCTTCCTACATTCTCTTCCAAGATGATTTCAGATAGATTTAAACATCGTCTACATTTTACTAATGCATTTTAAATCAACAGGTCAGCGTCTCCTGAGAGATCTCGCCAGTGCATATAAACTCAACCCTTGACTACCACCTCCAATTCCATGTCCCAGTGTTCACCTCCCCACCCTGCCCCACCTCCTGGGTCTCCTGCACCTGCTGCTTCTCTGACTACAGGCCTGACTCTCTCTCCCTGCACAGATACTCCCTACTCCCTTCCATGGCTTCACTGCATTCATCTGACACGCTGTTTACTGTCTTTTCTCCACCAGAATGAGATCATGAACCTTGACCACTTCTGGATTCCTAGTGCTCAGAACAGTACCTGACAGACAATAAGCGCTCAGTGAATGACGACTTAGTGTCTAACCCTCCACTAACCCTCCACTCTGAAGCTGTTCTCAGATAACCAGTCCTGGCTTTGAAAGAAGTAATAGAATGTTAATACCTTTGAACTCTCCTACCTCTGATGGCTATAACACTGAGGATGAAAAAGATAAAACTTCTTAAAAAGAACCACAAAAATCTGATACTAAGTAGATCAAAATATGTTGTTTGCTAAAATCAAGTGTTTCCTAATATCAAATCAGTTAAGAATAATCTCATTCTTGGCCAGGCGCGGTGGCTCATGCCTGTAATCCCAAAACTTTGGGAGGCCGAGGCAGGCGGATCACCTGAGGTCAGGAATTCGAGACCAGCCTGGCCAACATGGAGAAACCCCGTCTCTACTAAAAAAAACCACAAAAATTAGCCGGGCGTAGTGGCACATGCCTATAATCCCAGCTACTCGGGAGGCTGAGGTGGGAGAATCGCTCAAACCTGAGAGGTGGAGGTTGCAGTGAGCTGAGATCACACCATTGTACTCCAGCCTGGGCAACAGAGCAAGACTCCGTCTCAAAAAAAAAAAAAAAAAAAAAAATCAAAACATATTCTTAATCACCTTCTTCACCCCCAGGTACTCTCTAGTACCTGACCTTTCCCAAGAAACCATTCACTCATTCAACAAACATCTACTGAGCAACTGTGTCAAATCCTAGACAGATACAACCTAAGTGTCTGTCCTCTAGCAAGAATTTTTGCATTTTATTTTAAGTACTTCTGTATTTTAAAAATAAGCCATTATTGGCTGGGTGTGGTGGCTCACGCCTTTGGGAGGCCAAGGCAGGCGGATCACCTGAGGTTGGGAGTTTGAGACCAGCCTGGCCAACATGGTGAAACCTTGTCTCAATTAAAAATACAAAAATTAGCCAGGCATGGTGGCAGGCACCTGTAATCCCAGCTACATGGGAGGCTGAGGCAGGAGAATCGCTTGAACCTGGGAGGTGGAGGTTGCAGTGAGCCAAGGTCGTGCCACTGCACTTCAGCCTGGGCAACAGAGCAAGACCCCGGCTTAAAAAAAAAAAGCCATCATTACTTGTTTAAATATGAAGTACTGTCACAGAAGCGAAATGTTTCTCTCTGCTTACATCTGCCTTCAGCGACTATTCTGGGGCAATGGCGGATTTAGGCTTTGAGACTATACTGCTGATCCCCGCACCCTTCACAACCTCAAATAACCTTGCAACCACATTACCCCATGCATGGTGTCATGAGGCTTTGTCAGCAGTGCCTGCCAAGCAGATACTGCTCTTACTTTTCCACAGCTAAAGAAACAGGCAGGCTGGGCGTGGTAGCTCACGCCTGTAATCCCAGCACTTTGGGAGGCTGAGGCAGGTAGATCACTTGAGGTCAGGAGTTCAAGACCACCCTGGCCAACATGGTGAAACCCCGTCTCTACTAAAAATACAAAAATTAGCAAGGCGTGGTGGTATGCGCCTGTAATCCCAGCTACACAGGAGACTGAGGCACAAGAATTGCTTGAATTCAGGAGGCAGAGGCTGTAGCGGGCTGAGATCGCGCCACTGTAATCCAGCCTGGGCGATAGAGCGAGACTCAGCCTCAAAAAAAAAAAAAAAAAAGAAATAAAGAAACAGGCAAACTGCAATGTGCAGCAGAGAAAGGAGCTCAAGGTTTCTGGCTTCATTCAAAAGTCACAGCTCCCACGTGATCTCTTCTTGCCAAAGAAGAAAACAGTCAGTGCTGAACTGTCATCAGCTGATGAAGCAACAAGATCACAAACAGTGGTGGAGTTTACACCACTCAACCAAGCTGAGCCCAGAGGAATAAAACCCTTGGAAAGAGGGTGCAGGAGATGAAGCCCAGACAACCAGTGAGCTGTCAGCTTCTGCATTCATAACCCACAGCTATCATTACCACTTGGGTTGGCACCTCCAAGCCCAGGGGTTACACCGAAAGCCTGAGAAGAGAGCTTCGGGCCTCCTTAGATGGGGTTTGGTTGGAGGAAAGAATACTAGGGAATCAAAAAACCCATATTCTGTTCCCACTTTTATTAATTCAACAAATTAGTTATTTGCCACTAACTTATTGAGTAATAATCTAAGTAATTTACTTTGTTTCCTTTTCTGTCAAATGAGTACACCAAACTGGTTAAACACTGATTCTCTGAAGGCTCATATTTACATAACCACAGAAGTCCCCCAAGTCACTTACATCCAATTTAGGGAAATCTGTTAGAATTTGTGAAAGTCTATCATGGTAATTCTGTTGAGTAAATTTGACTTTTCTCATGTAAAAATGTCTAATGCGATGAATTTGGTAATGTTTATGAATAACAGTAGGAGTCTTTCGTTGAGTCTTCGACAATGTCAGGTCAATAAAGTCCTGCAATTAAAGAAAATAAAACATAATTACATCAAAAGTGTCTACTTTTGATCCACTTATTTGAAACCTTCTTAAAACACTAATTACAGTACTACATATTTTAAATTACAAAAATTTACTCTAACTAAACATTTTATGTACAACCTTGTTCATCTTCAAACACACGGCTGCTAAGATAAATTTTACGCCATACTTTCTTGATGCTATCTTAATTTCCAAACACCTAAGAACCATTGAAACTTAAGTAATCAGAGAACTCAAATCATAAATTAGAAAAAATAGTTGAGAAAAAGAAACAATCCTCCCATTTCTTTATGCGTATCTTTGACTTTGAAAGTACATAAAATAACAGGTAAAACTAAAATCCACTTCATAATTTCCTAAGAGCATGGAAGGGAACTACTTGAGGAGATGAAGGATTTTTGCATGAGTTGCCCAGTGCAAAGAGTCAGCACTTCTCTTTAATAAGGATCTGATTCCCAGGATTCCTCAATCCAATGTATCTAGTCACACAAAATTACTTGGATCTTTTTTCTTGAACACTTTAATTCAACAATTTGATTAACTCAATATTATTTCAAACAAAGGTTGTTAGGGATACTTGGGTGCTGAAGATAATGAACAAGATACTGTCCCTTCCTTCATGGAATTCAGGGTCCAGTGACAGAAGTAAACACGTAGGCACAACACAGTCTGCCAAGTATTATACTATGAGGGGCACGCACCGTCTCCCCTCTGGGTCTACAAGTGAGACAAGTAAACAGGTGGTCACAACAGTCTTCCAAGTACTATGAGGGGCACACACGGTCTTCCCTCTGGGCCTACAGAAGATCTTCCCTACATTTTTCTGCAACTAATGGCGTTCACATATCCTGAAGGGGGACCAGTTCAAAGGTTACCTACTTCATAAGATTGCCCCTGACTCTCCAACTTACCACAGCTAACCGCACTCTTCTCTCCCAATCCATGTGGGTCCTCCATGATAACAGTTTCATTTCTAGTATGGTCATTCATGATGCCACTTACCCTTTTTTGTTTTGTTTTGTTTTGTTTGAGACAGAGTCTTGCTCTGTCGCCCAGGCCGAAGTGCAGTGGCAGCACAATCTCCGCTCACTGCAAGCTCCGCCTCCTGGATTCACGCCATTTTCCTGCCTCAGCCTCCCCAGCAGCTGGGACTACAGGTGCCTGCCACCACGCTCAGCTAATTTTTTTGTATTTTTAGTAGAGACGGGGTTTCACCGTGTTAGCCAAGATGGTCTCCATCTCCTGACCTTGTGCTCCACCCGCCTCAGCCTCCCAAAGTGCTGGGATTACAGGCATGAGCCACCGCGCTGGCCTCGACTTACCCCTCTTGACAACGACTTCCAAAGAGGCAGGTATTTTATCTAATGCATTTTTGTAACACAGTACCCAATGCATAGGACAGGCACTCATTTAACAGCTTCTAGAATGAACTGAATACCACACACTTTCCTGAAGTGTTTTTTTTTTTAACTTCCAATCACCAAACAATTACCATCACCCATTTTTTAGGTAAGTAAACTCATCTGTTCTCTAAAAATACAAATCTCATTCCACAGAAGATGGATGGTGTACTAACATATCCTAAAGTTCTCCACATAAGTCAATAACATGAACAAAGTTCATGTAATCCAAAGAGCAAATTCCTTCAACAAACTTGAGAGATGGCTGACCAAAAATACAAATAAGACATGATTCCTGCACTCGAAAATACTACAATCTGGCCGGGCACGGTAGCTCATGCCTGTAATCCCAACACTTTGGGAGGCTGAGGCAAGTGGATCACTTGAGATCAGGAGTTCAAGACCAGCCTGGCCAACATGGTGAAACTCCATCCTACTGAAAATACAAAAATTAGTCAGGCCTGGCGGTCTGCACCTGTAATCCCAGCTACTCAGGAGGCTGAGGCAGGAGAATCACTTGAATCTGGGAGGCGGAGGCTGCAGTGAGCTGAGATCACACCACTGCACTCCAACCTGGGCAACAGAGCCAGACTGCATCTCAAAAAGAAAGAAAGAAAGAAAGAAAATACTACAATCTATCAAGAGATGTGTCAGAACAATTGTCAGGAAGAAATGAGAAATGGAGAGAAGTGGGGAAACAATTTTTGCTATGAAGGTAAAATACGAGACTCCCACAAAGCTTTCCAAGGCAAGCTCATTCCGTCGTTGAGACGTGAAGAAAAGGAGACACTGATGAGAGGAAAACAGTCACTCTGCAGGGACTTCAGTAACTCCCTCTCGTGCAGCAGTCCCTGAGAGGCTCGAGTTGCCCGTCAATGTCTCTGTAATTGCGACCCAAATCGCATGTTCACTACATAAAAACGTGACTTCTTAAAAGTCGTAACACCAGGGCCGAGTGTGGTGGCTCACGCCAGTAATCCCAGCACTTTGGGAGGCCGGGGCGGGAGATCACCTGGGATCAGGAGTTCGAGGCCAGCTTGGCCAACGTGGTGAAAACCCGTCTCTACTAATAACACAAAAATTAGCCGTGCGTGGTGGCGCACGCCTGTAATCCCTGTTACTCGGGAGGCTGAGGCAGGAGAATCGCTTGAACCCGGGAGGTGGAGGTTGCAGTGAGCCTTGATCGCGCTCCAGCCTGGGAAACAAAAGCGGAAAACTCTGTCTCGGGGGAAAAAAAAAATCCTAACACTTAACACTTGTTGACTCATTCTTGCCACACTAACCAACGCTGTAAAAATTTAGTCTGGGCCTACTATGGTCTAAAAAAGAACAGGGGTTCCCAAATCTAACAGTCAAAGAGAATGACTTAAAAATTAAGAAATGTTAAATCACAATAGCAACGAACCGAGGATTCCTGAGAGGGGAGGGGGCTACGCCAAACCCAGAATCTGAAGGCTCATCACGGACCACGGAGTGCTTCCTCCCTCACGTGTTGGGGTCCCCTCCACTCGCCCACCTCGTCACCCGGAGCCCCTCCAGGGAACCCTACTCTGGGTGGACCCCGATCTCTGGGGGCCCTCAGTCTTTGGGTGGACCCCGGTCTCAGGTGGGCCCGGGTCTCTGGGGGATCCGATCTCTGGTGGACCCCGGATTCTGCTGCGGGAGGGGAAATGATCTCGAGTACGCGTCCGGCAGGTAGGGCCCGGGAGCGGGTGGTGGGCGAGCGGAAGGCGACCGCTCTCCCACGGCTACAGACCCGGACCCTCCCCTGAGACCCCGCTAATGAGAAGGCGAAAGTAGCAGTGGCCCTCCCGGAGCCACCTACCTTGGCGGACGGCACCACCGTAATTTTCTTGAAGTTGTAATGCGCCATGCCGGCTGCCTTATGCACGCGGGTACTGGGCACTCCCGGAACTTCCGCCGTCGGGAGCAGGAGGGACTTCCGCCGTCGGGCGCTTGCTGTACGTCACTTCCGGGAGCTCAGCCAAACGTGGCTTGCGTGCTCTATGGCGCTTTTGGCGTCGCACAGCGCACCCGCCCGGCCTGGAGGTCCGCCGCGGAGAGTGTGTGAGGGCCCCGGGAGCGAGGGCGCGGGGGAGAGGACGCCTGGGTTTTAGGGGGCGCGCGGAGACTAAAATTCATGCTGGGTAAAGAAGAGGCTTCCGACAGACTGCCCTGCGGGTTTCTGGAGCGGGTTCAGGCCCCCAGCCACCCGCCCTGGGCCAGGGTTCGAGGGTCCGGGGTCTTGGCATTTGGGGGATGCGGGGCTTAAGTGTCCAGAGGGTCGAGGGTGTCCGGGAGTCTGGGCGTCCCGGGTCGCGGCGAGCCCCGCAGAGGAGGAGGGAGCCGCGCGTGCGGGGCGTGCCCGGGTTCTGGGTGTAGAGCGGGTGACGCCCCCCACCCTGATCCCGGGCGGTGGTGAGGAGGCCCTCGCGGCTCTCCTGCAGCCCTCGTTTCTCGTGCTTATTAAATCCCAAAAAGGGCGGAGAAGGGAAATCCTGATCTCAGGCGAAAGAGGTGCCGCTGGTTCCGCAGAGTGCCTTAGGAGAGCAGAGGAAGCAGTTGCGAGAGACAGTCCTGTGGGGTCCAACAGAGGAGAAAGGTGATGAGGATGGAGCCTTTACTGCTTTAATGTTTGTGAATAGTGTGGCCGCTCCCTTAAGGAACCCAGGGCCACATCCCGTAAATTAAACGTTAGGTAGGGCTGACTCAGTCAAGCAGTGTTCAGAGCTGTTGACTACATATTAACTCGTTTAATTCCTGCAACAGCCTCATGAAGTGCGTGGGGAAACCCAAGGCACAGCAAGGCTCGAAAGCAGCCCGCGGTTGTGCAGCTAAGGGGCAGCAGAGGTGGGCTTTGAACCCAGGCAGCCTGGCTCCAGCAAACCTACTTCTAACGATTAGCTATACTGCTTCTCACGCATCTGGGATGCCCCCCACTCTCCAATCCTTTTAAATAAGTCCTATTATTCTTACAGGAAAATACCTCTCATAAATTCCCAACGTTCCAATATTGAAAATCATTCTGAGTCATGCTTTTCTCATCTATTAACTATGCTTCCATTTTTGTGTCACAAGGCGGATAAGCATACCTCCTACATCTCTGGCACTTCTAAAGGAAGCTTCTAGGGTAATTAGGATTCGCTGGCTATGATCATTTGCTAAGCCGCAGGACAGTTCTGGCCACCATTTCCGAGATTAGCAAAGCTATGCTTATACTTATTGCCCTTTCTTTTAGGTTCTTATATGTTTCCTCAGCATCTCCCACTTTCTCTCACTCTGATATAGCCAGTTCCTCTTTCTTTTTCTTTTAATCCGGTATTTAGATAAGTCCAGTCAATACTTTGCTTCAGATGGGCAAACATCCTTTCTTTAATTCTTTTCTTTTTTTTTTTTTTTTTGAAACAGAGTCTCACTCTGTCACCCAGGCTGGAGTGCAGTGCCACGATCTCAGCTCACTGCAACCTCCGCCTCCGGGGTTCAAGCAATTCGTCTGCCTCAGCCTCCCAAGTAGCTGGGATTACAGGCACCTGCCACCATTCCCGGCTAACACTTTGTATTTTTAGTAGAGACAGGATTTCACCATATTAGCCAGGCTGGTCTCAAAACCTGACCTCAAGTGATCCACCCGCCTTGGCCTCCCAAAGTGCTGAGATTATAAGTGTGAGCCACCTGCTTTTAACTTGTTCAGCTACAAAGGCATGTCTGCGAATGCACAACCATAATGACTCATCATGGGCCCAGAGCTATGGCAATGGTAAGGTACCAAGCATATCATGGGCCCAGAGCTATGACAATGGTTTGAGCTAGCAACTAATGGTAAGTGCCGGCATCTACACCGTAATGGCATTGTTGATAAGAATCAACATCCTTGCCTATTCTTGTGATTTTCTGGCTGAGTATAGCTTCTTGGGGGCAAGTGCGTGTTCTACACCACTAGGAGCAAGCTTCTCTATTGATAGACTTCTGGGCTTCTCTGGAGTAGCGCTAAAGGCCTTTCTGAGGAGGAGTCAGAAATGCCGCCTGCAGTATCAATGGTAAGGTACCAAGCATATCATGGGCCCAGAGCTATGACAATGGTAAGGTACCAAGCATCCTACACCATGTGCGTGTTGATAAGAATCAACATCCTTGCCTATTCTTGTGATTTTCTGGCTGAGTATAGCTTCTTGGGGGCAAGTGCGTGTTCTACACCACTAGGAGCAAGCTTCTCTATTGATAGACTTCTGGGCTTCTCTGGAGAAACCAAACGCTAAAGGCCTTTCTGAGGAGAGTCAGAAATGCTGCCTGCAGTATGAGGCACATTGCCAATTCTTGACTGTATTAATGGAGGTTCCAGCTACCAGGATGCCTCCAAGTGTGTGTACCTTGTGACAGAGAAAGGTACTTCTCAGCCGTAGTAAAGGACGCTCTCAAGGGTCCTCTGCAAAGCTTCTGACCGCCAGGCACTTCTCAGTGAAAAGCTTTGTTTTTCAAATCTCTTTGTTTTGTGGACTTGATATTTTCTGTTTTACCTTCTTGTTGCTGTGATTCTGATGAATGGAAGGTACATTTTGCAGAATTGAATTTCCTGCCTGAAAGGAGTCTTTGCATGGGGATTAGCCGTCAGTAGCCATCCGGTCTTAGAGGGTCCTAAGAGTGCTCCATCGGGCCATCAGCCACTTCCCTGGATCCCCACAGGAACTCGTTCAGAACGAGTCACATGCTGCTTTGTACCTGGAGGCTTCCTCGTGTACATCTTGTTTGCAAAGGAAGTAGCCAGCTCTTCGTGGACAGGAACTGTGTCTTACTCTTCTGCCATCCCTCCCCTCAGGCAGCACTGCCGAGAGCATTCGCAGTGGCCATGGAACTCTGTTGATTGAATATTGGCTTGAGGAAGTTCCTGATGTAGTTGGGGCTGTAGCAGTTGGAATCTGGCTCCTGCGATACTCAAGTAGTCCTACTGAATTACAGTACTGTCAGAACCCTGTGCACAACCCTGAAGTGGGTCAGAATTCCACACTGTGCCATAAAGAGGAAAACTGTCAACAGGGAAGTCTAAGGAAACACCCTCCTTTGTGGAAGGCAGCAATGGCATGAGAGCCACCCTCTGGGCCAAAGGTGCAGCCTGACATTCTCTGCAGAATTACACAATGAGTTAAGAGTGTGAGCTTCGTTTCTGAGATACAGCTCCACCCCCTGTGATCCTGGGAAAATTTATCAGCTTCACCAAGCCTCTGTTTCTTCACTCTTTGCTCAGTTACTATCTACCAGGCATGTTAAAAATACTTTATGTGAATTATTTTTGCTTTTCACTAACCCTATTCTACAGGCATTAATAAGTGAGCAAAGAGATTATTATTTGTTATGCATTATTATGTATTATCTATATTCTTATTAACTACTTAGTTACAATAACGTTTGCTAAACTTTTGTTCTGTTCGTTAAATTCTCGTTGAACCTTAACAACTGCAAAGCAGGGAGCCTCCACCACATGCCAGGTCACTTGCTTTCCTTCTCGGGACAGCATAGTGAGGTGGTTGTGATTGTCTCTGTTTCACAGATAAGAGTGCTGGCTTTGATGTGGTTGAATGCTTGCTCACCATCACACAGCTGGAGAGACACAACTGGAGGTGAGTCCAGGGAGCATGGAATTCCAAAGCCACTCTCCTTTTGCACTGCCAGCCAAGAGTGGCTTTGTTCTTGACCTCTTTAGGGTTATTACCTTGTTTGGTATTTGTTTGTTTGTTTATTTATTTATGAGATAGGATCTCATTCTGTCACCCAGGCTGGAGTGCAGTGGTGTGATCTTGACTCACTGCAACCTCCACCTCCCAAGTTTAAGCAATTCTCAGATTTAAGTGCCTCAGCCTCCCGAGTAGCTGGGACTACAGGTGCACGCCACCACACCCGGCTACTTTTTGTATTTTTTAGTAGAGGCAAGGTTTCGCCGTGTTGTCCAGGCTGGTCATGAATTGTTTGGTATTTAAATGGAGGTACATGATGGATTGCACTTGGGGTCAGATGCTGTCAATAATCCCCCAGCCCCTGTGTTTCACTAAAGCACTGTTTGCGTACGCAGACAGGTTGTTTCTTCTGTGAGAATTCCGTTCCTGTGTGTGGATCATGACAGGCACCTGTGCTAATGAACTTCTGCCCTTGCTCACGTCAGAGCTGCTGATAAGGGCTGTTTCCATGGGTTGAGTAAGAGTCATTCAATTGACACACTGTTAAAAACATTCTTTGCATTCTGCTGTTCCATAAAGGAACAATTTTAGGTTTAATGGAAATCTTCCGATCTCTTTTCCTAGAGAAGATTTGTGATAATAATAAACATACACGTATTGGAATGCATGTACTTATGCTTGTATGATCAATTTCCAAACGATTCTAAATATCTGCAGGCAGAATTTCTTAAGATTAGCATTCTGTGCTGTACCCAAAAAGATACTCGAGATAAGCAAAGATAAGTTTCATATTGCAACAGACATCTGAATCCTTGGTGTTTATGGAAGCTGGTTAAGCAGGTAGTTGTGATGTCTGACCCTCAGGTTAAAAACAGCGAAAAAAATTCACTTTGATGATGTGACGTTATTGTCACAAGTTTAATAATTGATTTTGAAGGTCTGCACAAGGAAACCATAATGTTTTAGCAATTTCCGTTTTCCAGAGGGAGGAGGCTTAAAATTTCAATTCCAGCCCTGCCACCAACTTCTAGACTAATAGTAAGCTAAGTGCCTTTCCCGCTATTATTTTTAATTAAAAACATATTATTTCCTCACAAAAGCATAGAGGTATAAAAATAATATTCGCTATCAGAATGTATCTGTCTGGACAGTCTAAATTATCCTATGATAACAAATAGTCTCCAAATCTCAGCGTTGGTTGTTTCTCTCTGATGCTTCATGCCCACTGCTGTGGACCAAATTGAGTCTCCCCAAATTCCTATGTGAAAGCCCTGACCTCCATTGTTATGGTATTTGGAGATGGAGCCTTGGGGAG